GCGCATGTCACAAACAGTAACAGTGTTTAACTCTTTCCATATGGGTACACGTTTGTGCGCATGTCACAAAGAGTAACAGTGTTTAACTCTTTCCATATGGGTACACGTTTGTGCACATGCTACAAAGAGTAACAGTGTTTAACTCTTTCCATATGGGTACACGTTTGTGCACATGCTACAAAGAGTAACAGTGTTTAACTCTTTCCATATGGGTACACGTTTGTGCGCATGTCACAAAGTTTTACTGAGTTACATTTGAAATTTAATTAAACTACTTTATTATTATGATATACAAATAAACTTGGAATTTAAAATGTAGCTACTAAATCAAATTTTGACATTATATAAGTTTAAGTTGTTAATTTATAAGGCTATATTTAAAAACAAATCCTCCATTTCTTCTAGTGGGAGAATTGTGACATTAGCTCTCGGTCTCCTCTGTTCTCTAATTTATTTACCACCTCTCTGAGAAGTACAGAATTTAATACAAATTACTTATAATATTGTTATTACTCAGGCAAAGGATAATTTTTATAGCTTTCAATCTTATTTGATTACAAAGCCATAAACTAGAAAAGCAGACCTCCACCTGTCACATCCTTTCTTTCACAAATTGCCAATAGTTCTCTCTGATGTTTAATACTATATTATTTATAACTAATAGAAAGACAAAGTTTTAATCTATTAAATTATGTGTTTTATTATTTTGTTTTCTGTACAGAGAATTAGTTTGCTTCCAGTTCAAACTTTATTCCCATGGGGAAAACATCAAAGAGCTTATCTGAATATTTAAATGCTCTTATTGCATAGTTAGAAAGCTAGGAAAATTATGTTAGTTATAGGACATTGTCTGCTTTTTATGTGTTATTATTCTGTATTCTTAGGTGCGTTATTTAATTAAATGAAAAAGTTTTAGTGTAGTAGTACCATTAGTATATAAAAAAGTAGGGTTAAGTTTCGACAGTCGGCAGCAAAAAAAACAAAACAAAAAATAGAAGACCCATTTAAGTACTATATTTCTTGTTTTTCATGTGTATTCTTTATTTATTTATTATTATAAAGTAACTAAAGTTTAAAAATTAGACTTTTAAGCTTAGATTAGGTAAAATAATAAAAATAAATTTTCATGAGGTATGCTGATGAGCAACTCACGAATAGCCCATGCCTTATGTAATTTGATAGGGTAATGTGAGCCACATGTTCACTAATTGTTTCTCAACTTGTGTGGTGGGAATATTAGTCACACATGATTCAAAGATCAATAGAACATTTGCTTAGATTATTAAGGTAGAAAATATGATGTAAACAAGAGCTAATCAAAATTTTTCATGAAAAATCAGTTGCTAAAATATCTTCTCTCTTCCATAACTTATTTCTGTTCTTCTGGCATTTTTGCTAAGAATTAGATCTCATTGTTTTGCTTACTTCTCTGTTTTTATTCCTTTTTATTTGTGTAAAAATGCATATACAGCATTCTTTCAATCACTTTGTAAAAGGAGATATTCAATCATATGCCTTGGTCTTTCATTTGGAATGATTATAGGTCAATCACATTTTACCCAAATTAGAAACCTAAACCTAGATTTATATAAATATGTTAATGTAAAAAGTTATTAGAAAAATTTTTGACTTTTTAAACAATTAAATTATGAGATACAAAACATTAATCTCACTTTATAACAACAGTTTGCAAAGCTAATGCAGTGGTATGCAAACACAGATGCAGTTTGTTTAGCACTTATATGTTTGGTTTCCATTGAATTTCTGACCTTTAAATTTTACAATGGTCATAAGATAGACTTATTTATCGTTGGATGATTGTATCATTGCCATTTCTGAGGAAGGAGGTTTGTATAGTGTAACTGTTAACTCATTACCTGCCATGGCCATTTTGTCTTATCGTGAGGGCAAAATCACATTTATGAATTGAAAAAATTAAAGAAAACTTATCTTTTATTGGATCTCAAATTTTAATTTTGTAAATAGTAGCATAACATTCAATTATTTGTACAAAATTGTATTATTCAATGAAGTTTAAAGAGGAATTTAATGAAAAAATTTTAAAATACATTTGAGACTATAAATAAGTCTTCCTCTGAGAAGAACATTTTTTTCAAAATTAAAAAAAAAATTTCCTTCCACTTCAGCACTGGTCCTGCCATCTATGATTGGTATCAAAACCTTTTTATAGTCAGTTTTCTTTATAAAACAGCATCAGGGTGGGTTAAACCTGATTTATAAACTTTTAGCCAATCCTAATCGAAGATGTCAATTTCAGTACCATGTTATTCCAATCGATGTATTTCACGTTTGACAAATCATAGGATGATAAGGAAAGCACATGATGAAATGTTGTTCTCTGGATTTTACAATATGAATGTGGATGGTGCTTATTATAGTAACTGCCATTTTATGTAGAGGTTGTATTTAGTATTGGTCAATAGTGCTTTTCATGCTGCATCGTATATCTATTTATATTAATCATTACACTGAAAAATTAACTCAAAATAGATATATTTTTCAGAAAAGAAGTTGATCCACAATTGTTAGGGTTAAGAGCTATCGAATGGTGAATGCAAGGTCTTTACATGAATTAGGCTTAGCACTTTAAATTGAAAGAGTTTGTAATTTTTTATATTCTTTTGCATTTAAATTTGTAGTTTTAAGATCAATAATTTAGCGTAATTTTATAATTATAATTTATAATTTTATAATAATATGATTCTGTATTTAGAATGATAAACTTGTGTGATTTGTACGTAATACTACTAGTACCAGTACCACATAAGAATTTTATATTTTTCCTTCTTACAATCTTTACTTTGTAGTAAGACCCACACTTCTGTTGTTATTGCTTTAGAATTAAAACAGTCTAACTGATATATATAAAGTTTATTCTGATATTTTACAAATGGTTTAAAACACAGTGTACAAGTGACAACAATAAAACCCATATGTTGGTTGTGAAACAGACTAAATCCATTCATCTCAATAAATACAGGGAAGCTATGACATTCTCACAGTTGGGATCTCAATATATTGAAGAGCGTAAGTTTCGAATTCCAACATAAATCTTGCTTATAATGAGAGGAATGTGACCAGGACTAATCTTTTAAGTGCTGTAAAATAATTTTCTTTGTAATTTATGGTGTCTGTATCGTTTTGTAATCTCTTCTAACAGGATGTATCAAGTAACTAGGGTCAGGCGGTGTTATATGTACTGTAAACTGTTACATACATTTGCTAGTAGTGGCAATTAGTTTTGTCTCTATAGCAACACAACATACGCAGACATATGTTAAAATAAACTTGTTTGAAAGTTCAAAGAAATGATATTCAAGTATCGAAAAGCTTTCTTACTATCATATCTACAGTAATGTTGAAATGCGCCTGTGCTGGACTAAACGAGAGTGGCAACCAACAGGTATGATACTTTACGGCAAATGTACAAAGTTCACGCTGCTAACCTCACAATTCATTCGGCACAATAAACAAAAGTATGGCTGAAATGGAACATAAACATAAACTTGAAATAAAAATACATCTATGAAACAAAATTAAAATGTTTTTTATGTACATATATATAAACATGAAATTCTAGTAAAAAATAAAAATACTTATTTATTGTTTAGGTTTATTTACAAATATTATTTTTGGGTCTTGTATATTACTTGAAACCATAAGGAGAGTACATGATTATTAAAAAAAATAAAAATAGATAAAATTTGCATTTTATGGGAGATACAATTTTTTGGGGGATTTCATAATAATTTACTAAAACATAAAAGTAATAACTTCAAATCTGAAACAAATATAAATATCGTAATCATTTCTTATAAATACCATTTCCTAATGTAATTTTCTAAGATATTAAAGATCATAATGCAAAATAACTAAATTTATCAAATGTAATAGGCTTTATGTTTCTTAAACTATGTACATTTATGAAAGTTCTTATGAAGTTTCAAACATATTCATCCACTAGTTTTATTGTTGGAATGAAACATAGCAAGACTTGCATTGGCTACTCAGAAAGTTAGTAGCTGGTGGTCATCGGGTTAAAGAGTGAAGAGCTTAGGACATCAACTTCAAAAAGATAATCTTCCATTTTTCCATGTACATAGTGTTAGGACAGCAGCAGTTTTTGAAACAACACCCTAAGCCAACCTGAGGCATTGCCTTTACCCACAAGCTGAACCCTTATAACATAATAAACAAGTATTTGAAATTAACAAAAGTTTTTAAGTTTCCAATCAGGATATTTTCTTGATAAAAATGGCCCAAGAAAGTGGAATCATTGTAATCCCATATGAAATGTATCTGTCACTTTTGTGCCTTTGAATTGTTTAATATGGTCTTTAAAGCCAACATTCAGGTACAGTTGAGGGTCTGTGGAAATTTACAATGTGATTTGGTAGTTGTACAGTAATTCATAATTGTTGCTATTATATTATGCACAATCAACAATGGGGGATATAATTGCAAGAGCTACTTGACAACTGGAACATTTACTTTATAAAGTGTGATTAATCCTCATTATTATGTACCTTAATTTCTGTTGAGGGGTACATGATTATCTTATCCCTTTGGATTAGTCAGTTTAAACCTATGTGGCATATCCTGGCAAGAGATAAGGTTGAAAATTGATAAATATTTTTTTCTCTAATCTTTTCTCTGTAGTTTTTTGGGTATGTATTGTAAATGTGTTTTCATAAAATAATTCATTTTTTTAATGGTATAGATTTCTTGTGTATAGTTTGTTTATATGTTCTTTGAAGTTGTATGATTGTTTTTGTACTTAATGTATGATGAGTACAAGTGAACTTGAAAAATGTTAAATAGAACAAAAATATGTATATGTATAGTTGTGTGCATACATGCGTGCTTGGAGGGATATTAAATAATTACTCCAATTCTGAGCATTAACTTACCAAAGTAGGATTCTCTGTACATCTTAATTTAAAATAATTCTCAAATATGTTATGGTTAATTTCCTGTTTTTCTATGATCTCTACTCTTTTTTCCTCAGTTATTAATGAAATTGTTTTCATGTTGTCAACCACTGGATCTGATCTTCGTTTGATATAATGTATACATTTCGATTGGTATTTTTAGGTTGACCACAAGAAATTTGATGAATCTGATGTTAACTACTTATCTCTTCCATCAACTCAAGAAGAACTAGGAGCCCAAGTACAGCCTGGAAGTAGCTCGTTGGGAAACCTTCCAAAATCAATACTTGCATCTTACCAGAATGGAGGACTAACCCTCACTGTGAAAGATAACTTCAGCATTAGTACTTTGATATGTTCCACTAAACTTACACAGAATGGTATGTTAATCAGTTAAGATATCATAATAATGTATCAGTGTTTCTCAAATGGTGGTTCGTGACTCCCAAGGGATTGTGACCAAGTTTCCATGGGGGCCACAAGCTGTCTGTGCTGAATCTACATTTTTTTTTAGTCCTCGATACAGGGGTCGCTTGTCAAATCTGGCTGAGAGACACTGTAATATATTCATTCTATTAGATGATGAAATATACAAATTAACTCTCTTAAATGTGAAGTGGGTTGATGTGACCGTCTTTGGAACTACCTTGTAGTTATGTAGTTATATGTGCTTAACTAGGAATTTTCTGATTGTATCATTACAAAATTTCGCAAGCTTTTATGGAATGTTACAGATCTGTTGCACACACAAAATTCAAATAGTTTAATAATGTATTTATACTAAAAAGACTGAGTGAAAGTTAATTTTCTTGTTAAGAATAAAAATATTTCTTTCCGATACAATATCTTACCTTCTTTCACAAAAAGCTTTTGTAGACTTATACTTCCCTATATTGGCACAAATTTTTGCTTGCCACTAGCCTTTATACTCCCACTTACCCTTACATATGTCAACATGAAATATTTGCATACTAACATGCAAATAATTATGCAGCAACCCTCCACCAACAGAAGTGTGACACTACCTCTATCATAACTAGTGCCCTCTCTGATCTTGCAGCTGTTAACCATTTCTTGATTGGTAGTCTTATTGTACAAATGTGTTTTTTGCTCACAGTTTGATTAACTTATGCAAAAGTTTTCCTCTTCTTGTTTTTCGGGCCTTTCAACTTTTTTTCTAAATCTATTACATTAGTTATTTAATATTTTCCTAATTCTGGTGGAAAGTTACGAATTATATGTGTTCTTTTCTCTCTTGCTTCACTTCCAAAAGTTTTGCACTTGCAGTTTCAGGTGGTCATTAGTACAACTGCTTTTGCTCCTGCAGCAGAATTCCTGACCACATACACGGGGTTGGAACAGAGGTTGTTGGCACATGCAGTGACAGCTCTGGTGTGTCAGGAATTGGTCAATTTCATGTTACTTTCAGAACACGCTGTCCTCTCATACCTGCTTAAGGGTTGATTGATTGGGAAGATCCTAAAAGTTTCTCTCAGTCACATGTCATTTTGTGGGATTCATTACTCGAATATATTATGTTCTCTCTTTTTCTCCTGTTTGCTGTGGTTCCACCACTGCCTTTCTCATAGATGAGCCTTTGGGTCAATATTTATTGTTTTCTTCTTCCCCAGATATTGGGGTTCATGCAAGTCGTTTTGGGAGAGCAACTGCATTCAGAGGTCAGTATGCCTCAAACCCCATGTATATGTACTATGGACAATCTTGCTTTCACTTATCATCATTCTGACTTCCCTTATTTAGCTTCACAGCATTTGGAGTTGCTTATCCCTTTGTGGGGTTTGGACCCCAACTTTTTGGTTCTCTTTTTCCCTTGCCAGCTCTGGCTTCTCAAGCTTTGGAAACTCGCTGTCGATACCCTGTCAGGCATCGTTTTCAGAGCATGTTTTCAGGTCAAGGCCCATGGGGGCCAGACTTCTTCATTTTTGGAGGTCCCTTGCTGTGGATAATTGGGTTCTGCAAGTTGTCTCAGAGGGACTGGCTCTCCAATTCCATTCAAGGGATCCTGTTTCATGCCAGCGTCTTTCAGAGGCAGTTCAGGCCTTACTTCATAAGTGTTCTAACAAAGTGGTTCTTCTCATCCTTGATTTTCTTCTTGGTGCCCAGTTATCAATTTATCATATCTTATCTACTTCTTTAGTCCTTCCTAAGTTCATTGTAAAGTCATCTTTAGCTCTTTGTTGGAGTTTTTGCTCCTGGTTTCTGTACGATGAAGGTCAATATGTCATGCACACCTCCATCTCCATATATGACATGCATTTAGTTTATATTTTCACTTTGCTCACAATTGTGTGTGTTTCACTATTGGGCACTACCATTCAGATTTGCCTCAGCACTCTATGGGCTCTTTCTGGATGTCCAGGCATTTGCCCAACTGATTCATGCCAGGGGCTTTCATTCTCACCATTATTTGGTCAACTGGCTACTTTGGGTCTCATTAAATGTAGAATGTGCCCTACTTACTTGGTTGAGAGACCTATGTTTTCAAACATTGGATCTCCTATATTGGGCCCACAGCCATCATGTTACTTCTTCCAGATGCCCTGTATCTTGTCATGGATTGGTTATCCTATCCCGACAAGATTCTACCTATGAAGTGGTTTTTCCGTCCTCAGGTTTTTCGGGGGTTGTGTGCTCATTGGAGGTGTCCCAGATTTGGATGCTTTTGCCACTCATTTCAATACACAGTTTCCCCAGTTTTGGCCTCCTGTTCCTCATCCTTTGGCTGGAAGCAGTTGATGCTCTTAGTCCCGATTTGACGGGTCAGTACCTATATGCATACTCTCTATTCATCTCCTCCCACATGTCCTTGCCATAATTCAGACCACTCCATGTCATGTTCTGTTGGTGGCTTTGTATTGGCTGTCTCAAATGAGGTTTCCACTGTTAGCTTTTGGTGTCACCTTCCCCTTCCTCTTCCTTTATCTCTAACACTCCTACTTCAGTCACAAATCAGGTGTGCATCATCCATCCGTTCCCACATTTCTTCTTCAAGTGTGACTTTTGTCCAGTCCCTCAACAAAAGGACCTGACTTTCTCTTTATGTGGCTTCCTTAATTTCCTGACTTGTTCACCCTTCATGGTGGTTTACCAAATTAAGTGGTATGCATACCACTATTGGTCTGTATGATGTGGTTATCATCCTTCTCATCATAATGTTCCTCACCTCACGTCCATTTTTGACTTGACTATTTTACAGAGGCATTGTTGAATCCTCTTGAGTTGAAAAGTCATTGCATCAGTTTAAAAGTCATCTCTCATTTTTCATAACCAAATCATATGCATTGAGTTACAGGGCCTGAAGAAGCTGCCTTGTTGATAGTAACTCAAAATGGATTCTTCTTGACTCACTTTCATCTAGGATAGGCATTTCGGACAGTGTTTTGAATACCCACATTGTATAACTTTCTGAGCATTGTTTCGAGAGTTAATCTTCTGTTGTGTATTTTTTTTTAACTCTCTCCACACGGGCTCGGTCAATTTGACTAACCACGTGATCTTTTTGTACTCATATAGAGTTTTTATAGGTTTGATACTACTAACTTTTAATATAGTATGTATATCTTCATGAAATTTGGCAGTCTTTCGGTAAACATTATAAGTCTTTCACATGTAAAAAATCATATTTCCTGGTGAAGAATTTTTAATAAACTAAAAAAAATATTTGTCTTTGAATATATCAAGTATTTGTTTTGAATAGTTCGTATGCAAAATGATTTTACATGTTAAGATTAATAATACTGTTCTTCATCTAAAAAAACTTCATTTGTATAATCTCCAAAACCTCCTAAATACATTTCAAATGTTTGTTTTCAGTAAAACTTTATATTTTATCTGTTATTTTCTCTACCCTAACTATACAAGGTTGGTCAATTTGACTGACCTAGTACCACCAAATAAAATCTAAATTACCCTCCTTTTCTTTCCAAAATGACTTCAAATGTAGTGTGAAACTACATTTGTTTATTCTAAATAGTTTTATACTCGTAACAGTATACATCTATTTCTAATTAAATTTTATTATTTTATTGCCATTTTGATTGTTTTTTGAACCATGTCTAACTACTATTTGTGCCATTATAAGTTGTAAAGCACTTGGGGAACATGTAGTTCATGTTACGCTATCAAATTACATTACCCACGAGCTACTCTAGGGTGCTTGCTCACGAAATATTTTTATTATATTATTATTATTATTGTTTATTTTACCTAATCTAACCTTAACTAACCTAAAGAGATTTCTATTTTTTACATATTAGTCACTTTTATAATAATAAATATAGAATAAACATTAAAAACAAGAAATAAAGTACTTACCCGGACATTCTTTTTTTGTTTGTTTTTTTGCTGTCGACTGTTGATGATATTTAACCCTATTTTTTTATACTAATAGTAGTAATGCACAAAATAATTTTTATTTATTTCAATAATACACCAAAGAAAATAGACTAATAACATACAAAAAGCAGACAATTTCCTTTAACAATCACAATTTTTCTGGCTTTCTAACTATGTGACACGAGCCATTACAAATTCATCCAAGCTAGCCATTGTGATTCTCGTGGGAACCAAAGTTGTATTGGAAGAGAATTTGACTATTCTGTGTTCAGAACACAACGTAATAGAATACGTCATTTGATAGATGAAAACCTTGACTTTCAATTCCTTATAGGTATTGTATAATTAAATTTAACAGAGAACTATTAACATGTCCTGAAAGAGAGGATGTAACTGGTGGGTGTGACAGGAGGGGTCTGATTTTCTATTTGATAGCTCTGTAACCAAACAAAATTGAAGGCTATAAAAATTATGGTTTGTCTGAGCAATGAATATTCTATAATGAGTAATTTCCATTTAATTTGGTAGTTTCTGGTGGTGGTGGTGGGATAACATAGAGAGGAGAATATATTCAGAGAAAATGTGTCGCATGTCACTCTAGGGAAAATTCAGGATTTTTTTTAAATATTGCCTTATAAAATTAAGAAGCACTCTTTAACCCACTCACTCTAGGTATCCTTTACTAAGCATGACACAAAGTTTTCGTGTCTAGTATTCAAAATTTTATTAAACTACATTTTGTTTATGTTATACCAATTAGAATAGCATAATATTTTTTGCTAATAATCCATATTTTAATAGTATATAAGTTTCAAGTTCTAAATTCTACAAGGCAATATAAAAAAAATCCTGAATTTCCCATAATGTGACACGCTTGACACATTTTGTCTAGGCATCTCCTCTTCTCTATTTTATCCATCAACCCTTGGAAAAGTACGAAATTAAATGTAAATTACTCACAATAAAATTGTTATTGCTCTGACAAACCATATTTTTCCAACCCTTCAATTCCATTTGGTTACAG